TAATTAATTTAAATAATTTAGACCTACTGGAAGAAAAAATCAGCCCAGAGCGGGACACGAACCCGCAACTCTTGCTTACCGTGCAGATGCGTTTCCAGTAGGTCTAAATTATTTAAATTAATTACAGCATTTAGCTTTCCGAAGTCTACGAAAGCAATTATTTGGCATTGATGACCGCGAATTTCTCGCCAATAAGCTGCCTCGACTTGTTTGATTATGTTATACTCAATTTCATATTTATTTTCACATTTTCACTTTGCGGTCCTCCTCTCTTCTTTTTCCATTATTAGAGAGGTTGCAGCCGACATTTTCAACATGAAAATGTGTATGTCAGATGTTCAGCGCCGCCTTTCTGTAAGCCTAGACGTTTGACAATGGCATTTGGAACGTCAGTGGAATCATGCTCGACGTTCCAAACGCCATTGTCAAACTTCTACGCTTACAGGAAGGTGGCGCTGAACATCAGATGTACACGTTTTTGCATTGAAAACTTCAGCCGCAACCTCACTATTTACAGGTGTAGGTCATTTCATTGTTATCCACATTTGATATCATCACTTATAACATACTGTCGTGACGCTCATGTCTGTCCGCTACAACTGTCAAGAATTAATGCGATTGAAGAAGTGTAGTGACAGCAGGCCAATAGAGAGCAGGGTGTGCGATCCTTGCCATATAATGCGATTTGCGCGCCAATTTTTGTACGTGCGTTAATCAAGCCAAAATAGTTTGGCCGAATATTTGGCCTGAGACCGAATATACTATTTGTTACATCACTAATATATTTACATAATTTAATTGTAATATATAAAAGTAATTATCACTTAGATCTAGTTGTATATGACATACAAATATATAATAATAATAGCACTCAAATGCAAACTTCTATACACCCAGAAACCATATTAGAAATACAGTAAGAACCCACTTAACGAGGGTGATGCATTCCTAGACAACAAAGTTCTAAGCAAAACAACGTTAAACGATGTCATTTTAACATAGAGTAAATAGGGATAGGGGAATACGCGACCAAAAATCAACAAATTTTACTTTAATTTTAAGTTATTTTTATATTTACATAATTTAATTGTAATATATAAAAGTAATTATCACTTAGATCTAGTTGTATATGTCATACAAATATATAATAATAATAGCACTCAAATGCAAACTTCTATACACCCAGAAACCATATTAGAAATACAGTAAGAACCCACTTAATGAGGGTGATGCATTCCTAGACAACAAAGTTCTAAGCAAAACAACGTTAAACGACGTCATTTTAACATAGAGTAAATAGGGATAGGGGAATACGCGACCAAAAATCAACAAATTTTACTTTAATTTTAAGTTATTTTTGTATTAATCTGTATAATAATATGTGTTAAATAACACACAGACAAATGCACACAGAAATGTATAATAATATATTAATTAGTTCATTTTTTGTGATGAAGGTACTGATTCTTCTAAAATTCTCGTTCTTTTGCAATAAAGTCGTGAAGTTTCATTTGTCACTTTTTTCTCTCCTTAAGCAAATGTCGGTAGCAGAAGATTGCATCCAAAATGCCTCATTTTGCTTTTGCACTCCTTTCAAAATCTAGATCATTCGCTACAATTTGATCAATGATTTCGGTTATCGTTACCAAACTTTTACTAAAGAAACCTGTAGCAAGTTCTTCGGGTTCTTCGTTTTCAAAATCTCTGTTTTCCAGTTCTACACAAATTCCCTGTTCTGCCAGTTCTTGAAGTCATCGTTGGTAAGGCTCTTACCAGAAATCTGCAGTAACTCCCCAATATCCTGCTTGTCTACATCTCTTGTATCAATAAGTTGACAATTTTTTCAACCTAACGATACAGCAATAGGCTCTTCACGATGACAATTCTTAGATACCTTCAGCCATAACTTCTTCCACACTCTGTTCATGCATTTATCAGTTAATTCTTGCCAAGCCAAGTTGCTATTTCCTATGGCATCCATAATGTTATATTTTTTCCAAAATTGCACAAAACAAACATAGATTTAAAGAAAGTACACCTTTTTGCCACCTTTTGCTGATTGGTTTGTGTTCACAAATAATCNATGTTATGTAAACTTGACGAGTTAACTCGTCAATGGGCGTTAAGGGGAAGATCACATTCAAAATACCTCGTTTCGCTTTTGCACTCCTTTCAAAATCTGGATCATTTGCTACAATTCAATCAGCGATTTCGGTTATCATTACCAAACTTTTACTAAGGAAATGTGTAGAGAAATTTTTTTTGGGTTCTTCATTTTTAGAATCACTATATTCCAATTCTACATGGATTCCTTGTTCTGCCACTGCTTGAAGGTTGTCGTTGATAAGACTTTCACCAGAAACCTGTGGTAACTCCTCAATATCCTGTTCATCTACATCTCCTAGTCCTGCTGTATCGATTAGGTTGAGTTTGGTCAATGTAACGATACAGCGATAGGCTCTTCTCATTGAGAATTCTCAGATACCTTCAGCCATAACTTCTTCCACACTCCGTTCATGCATTTATCAGTTAATTCTTGCCAAACAAAACTGATATTACCTATGGCATCCATAATGTTATACTTTTCCAAAATTGCACCAAACAACATAGATTTAAAGAAAGTACATCTTTTTGCCACCTTTTTCTGATTGGTTCGTGTTCGTAAATAATCGTATTATGTATGAATCAATAAAATGCTACGATAATTTAAATCAGTGTAAATTTTGAGCTTTTTTTTAAGGCTTTGAGCAGATCGCATTATATCGAATCAGCACTAAGCAGGGTCTTACTGTACGTATTTTAGATAATCATAGAAAACAACACACACACACACACAAATTGCACTAGAACTATGCCATAATCACAGACAAAACAATCTATCAGAACAGGCTAGACAACACTTTCATTGACAACAAACAGAATCATATACATCATAGACACAACTGTATCAAACATCCACAACATACAAAATACATACACTGAAAAAATTAGTAAAGAAACTCAGAACTTACTCATAAAATAGAGTCTATGGAGAATGAATGAGGTATCAGGAAAATTGGAAAGTCATTGCTGAAAATTGGGATACAAAAAAAAATTTATTTAAAGTTAATACAAAAATTTATCAAAACAGTATTTCCCATTGTTAACTATGACCTAGGACCAATGTTCAATCAGTTTTTGAATACCTAGCTCAAAGAAAGATGGCTTCTTGGAAGCAAAGAAGTTGTCCATCTCTTTCTTGTAGCTTCTGGTCCAGTCAGCATATGACTATCAAGATGATTTTGCAAATACCAAAACAGATAAAAATCTGATGGTGCATGTGATCTGGCAGATGTGATGAATGATGATTTCCTAGCCCAACTGATGCAGGTGGCAGATTGACTTCTTACTAGTATGGTTTAGGGCAGGGATGTCCAGCCCACGGGCTGCACCCTAAATTCTTTAGGTACAATTTCATTTATTTTGGTTGAAGTATGTCATAAACTGGATACACTTTGACTGGATATTTTCGTAATGACATAATTGCTACTAGAAACCTGTGCTACTCAACATGCATAACATACTGTTCTGAACAATTCTTTTCATACATGAAAAACATCAAAACTGCTGGTTGAGTGATTCCCATTTAACTAAAATTTTTATAATTAAGACTAGTACCATAAATGCAGATATTGACAATATTATAAAAGAAAGGCAATGTCAAAACTCACATTGAATTTATATCTATTTTGTGTGGGTATAATTTGTTTTTACTGTCAATAATACAGTATTTTTTGTAATTATATATATATATTTATTTTCAAAATATGATATTTTCATTTTGAACTTTTTAAAAGCATATATTTATATAAATTACCTTTGTGGTTTTGAATATATGTAAATTTTTAATTTGGCCCATTAGGAAAAAAGGTTGGGCAACCCTGGTTTAGGGGATCTGATAAAAATCTGACATCCTGACATTCAAAATTCTTACTCCTTCAAAATTCTGACAGATTAAAATTAAAAATGGTTGAAAATGTTCACTTAGATTTCATCAAAGTACATGATTACCAAGTTAAAGGTTTTATTTGGTATTGTGAATACTGAAACAGTTAGTTGTGGTTCAAATGGATAGTATATTGTTAATTGTATGAAATTCAGCCACTGACATTATTTAAATTATTCCTGAGATTTAACCTAATCTTAAATTAAGTAAATAATTAAATATAATTTGTTCAATTTAAGTATTAAAAGTTAATTCTGAGATTCTTTCAATAGATTTACAGATGAAGGAACTGTCTGTACTGTTGATTCATCAGGCATTGTTAGATTACTAAATTTTGAATTTAATAACAAATGGTTGCCTGTGGCAAATACAAAAGGTCATGTAAGTAATCTATTAACTTATAAATTTGTCAGCAGTTATATTAAAATATAACTATAAAAAATCAGACAAAAACAATCAATTTATAGAAATTTATAGGCACAATTAACTGTAATTGAAATAACTTTTAAATCAATTATAAATATTAGTTATTTATCAGTAATATTTATAATAGATTTAAAAGTTGTTAATAGCACTCACTATTAATTAATAGACTTTGAAGAAAACTTAGTTTGTCTTGGATAACTATATATATATATATATTATATATAGTTGTAAATTTGTAAAATGACTTCTATTTCTATATTATCA